AAGCTAAAGTGTTGTTGGTTTCCGTTTCGTGAGATACAGATAGATGTGGATGGACTAAGTTAAACTGTTGCAAAAGTGTATTAAAATGATCAGAATCTGTAAGAATGAAAATATCGTTCACGTAACGTTTGTACAGGGTGGACTTAGAAATATTATCACATAGCTTTTTCTCAATCATGCCTAGAAAAACGTCTGCCAGAATGGGCCCCAATAGACTGCCCATTGCCACGCCATCGATCTGTTTGTATATGGCCCCTTCAAACTCAAAGCGAATGTTTTCTGTACATATAAGAATAAGTTCTCTTAAGTATTCAAGAGGAATATTAAGTTGAAAATTGTTTGAAGAAATATAATCGCACAAAAAACTGTTTCATAAAGTGGTACATTAGTAAAAAGTGAATTCACATCTATCGAATAAATTCTCTCCTGAGATATTGTAATATTATTCAAAATATTGGAGGAATCAAAAGAATCTTTCACACAATGAGGCATTTGTCTTCTTTCTGTTTTGATGAAATGGATAAAGGGAACTCAATGCTTCAAAGTACTTGGAATTGGCAGCCAATGCCTTGTGGTGTGTTTCATGCATGAACCTCCTAGGATTGTCCTGTGATCAGAACCATTTGGTACAGTGGTTTCTCTGTTTGATCCAGAAATCATCATTGTCATCTATTCCTCGAGGCTTGTCTTGTTCGTAACTGGAAATTTCTGAATAAATTAACTATAGTTTTATTTTGACGTTATTTGCAGCTTGGGACAAAACCCCTTATTCTTTCTCAGCAATGGCTGTTGTAATATCCAAGCTAAACTATATTCATCTAGGTGAACTATCAAACTGAGGTTCACGAGGACCACAACCTGTGCAACAAAGCATGGAGCCCGTTTTGTTTTCTCGAATATCTCCATTGCTGTATTCTCTACCAAAACTATAGTTGATCAACTGGTTCATCAAGCGCAGGTTACGAAACAACATCCCGAATTTTAGAACGAAAGTATATACTAATTTGAACTGAAAATGAGTTAGAAGGTGGAGGAGGGGTGACCAAAGTTTGACTCACACAGTTCGGCTTCTATGGTCCAAGCTCAACCGCTGTCTTGCTTGATACATCTTCGCTCGGCGTACCTCTCACAATCCTATGATTGTTCCTTCGTCAATATTCACCCGCTCTTGTTTAAAGGGTGGTTGTTAATAGACTTAACTGTCGACGACGGAATCCTTGCGCAATTGAAAAGCATGCACGTCCCAAATGTTCTCAGACGGGTTGAAATCTGAGCTACAGCCTGATCACTTCGTGGCTTTGATCTGATCTAACTAGGGCGAATGTTTCTAGTGTATGAAAAGTGAACAGAAGCGCTATCATGCTGGAATAAGTTGTTAATTTTTAATCTGATGCTTCAAAGGTGGAATTTGTCGCGTAGATAGCAAATGAAGCGTGAACTGGAAAACTATTAATCTGTTGACAGCCGTTTTTACCTCGTTGGGTCTCATCAGCAGTGCGAATCCATCGACCCAACTGGGGATCCAGTTCACGCCTCAGTTGCTATATACATGTCGAATTTCACCTTTGAATTTGAGTCAAATCCTCCATTACTCACATGAATCTGCTGTTTATTAACCGGGACCAAAACGGTTCCAGCGTATAAATATACGCTGCGGATTCTTATATACCCCCTGCCCTTCTGATATCATGCCTAGAGTCTTCAACAGATTTGAATATGGGTGTGGTTTGTAGCTCAGGTTGATGGTTTGTGTGGTCTTGTGTTCGCTGAGCTTGGCGTTTAGATCGCAAACGTTTCATCATCAGCCGAGATGACATCGTCAGTGCGGAGGTAATGATCCCTGTACTTGTCTTTATTTATAGTATTCCTACCCTAGGTTTGACCTTGAGAATTGTTCGGGCAACTTAAGCCTGCCTGGTAGAAGACATATTTCGCCTGTTGGTTGTTGGTTTCTCTCCGCATGGCGTTGCCCCAACGAAACTCAGTGTGAGTTCTGTTGGCTGTCTAAGTACAAGGTCACGGAGTGGTTGCAGAACTAGGATTTATTTCGCGTGCTCCAGTGCACACGAATCACATAGTTCCGATTCTCAGGGTTTTTATCTGTCGTTCAAACCACAAATGCACTAACCAGCTTGTTGCTGGGCGATAAACAGATTCTTCCCTCATATCTATCTGACAATCTATCATTGTCTAGGTGGCGTAAACTTATTGTGCCTTCGGCCTTTTATTTTAACCTCCTAATTTGTCAACGGAGTTTGTGTACTGCAATTGTGAGTACGTTTTTCTCGCATTGACAAACGCAACTTTTACTTCACAGTTTGCAACACCTTACCACTTGGTCTCACAGCAGAATTCCTATTAACCTTTCCGTTTTTCGTTGATCCTAGGACAGATTTGTTAGTTATTCTTATCTGTCCCTAACCTCAGGCTCATTCTTTTGTCATCCTACCCACAGNTACCCACAGCCGATACTTCACTGATCACACAGGGCTCAGATCCCGTGACCACATCCACTTCATGTTGTTCGCATGTGGAGGTGAATGGAACTACAGCTGCGAGTAATTGTCCGCCTACGCTGCCTTCGGAACCCCCTAAGCTGGACTTGACTCCGGAGTCAGACACTGTAATTCCCATGTCCAATATGCCGGATGAAAAGAAAAGTAATGCGGTTATTATGAATGGGTCTGACCAAACGGAACCGTGCGATTTTCCCCAACTGCCCGCCGTCTCGGAAACGATGGAGGCGGCAAATACAGCACTCACGTCAAGTGAACGGGTCGCCGGTCACAAACGTCATTCGTAGGTCACAATTATTTCATCATTGTACAAATTATTCTTTCTCCCGTTAATTGAACTGTTGCAATTGTTGATATGCGCTTCTTAATTTTTGATCCCAGTAGGTCAATCCTTCCGTTTGATCGGTCAGAGTACACTGTTCCTACGATTTTACACAAATGTTATCTCCAGGTTTGCCTCGTCATAAGGAAGCAAATGGGAGAGTTTCAGTTTGAGTGCATTATCATGATAAAGATACACAAAGAAAGGTAATTAAATGTATGTAAAGTTACTTGCTGTATCACTCCGTGGCCAAACCATTAGTTGGTTGTTCTTGAGGTCCCCACACTAGAAGCCTGATACAATCTATATCTTTTTTATCTTTTTATTTTACTTCCTTTTATTGAATATGCAATAGTACAACTCTCAGGAAGGGGAAAGCGGCCAATCAAAGAGCTGCCATTCAATACACTGGGGAAAGTCGGGCGGTAGTGGTGGGATTCGAACACATCTCCGGGGTGATAATTTGGTGACGTTACCACCGGGCCACCACCACCGACTGAAAGGGGTTTCGTATCCCCATTCTAAGTCTTGTTGTGACCATCTCTGATCTTCTATTTTCCGGTATAGCGAAGAAAACGAACTGAAAACTGTTCAACCCATGATGTTACTGTTATGATCGTTATGAGTAACTTCAACGAGTGTTTCTGTCCTTTTTTCTTCGATTTCCCATTAATGACAGAAAATCGCGGGACACTCTTACCCGGAAACGGCACCGTGTGAAAAGTGCAAGCAGTAAGCTCGTTTGTTGTCAAATTCGGTTTTGTGAATTCATTGATTGCAATGGGAACATATGCTGGCTTGGTTTTCTATCCGCGTTATTTTGTGGACATCCTTTATTCGTAAGCGTAATAGCTGATATTTTGTCTGCCATCTGTCGCTGATTTCAGTGTGATGCATTTCAAAAAGTGCAAAAGTGTGCAATGAGATGCAAGGTTTAACTATGGCGTAAGTGAACTTGTTTTCTGAGATCATGCTCCGTGCACTGGACTGGGGCTGTTCACTTCTCCATCCTTGAAATAAATGGAGAATAATGCCGTTCATCTGGTAATCGTTTCGTGGATGAGCATAGTTATTGTTTTTATTGAAACTGACCATTCGCTCTATGATATAAAATGCGAACGACACAAGTCCTTGCTCATAAGATCTGCGACACGGAGTAGTGAGCGTTGTCGTTCGGCGCAACTGTTGCTGTATCATAGTTTACTGTCCGGTATTTGGTCCTTTTCCAGTGCGCTCGTTAGTAAGAGTGGTGTTTGTCCGTCCATAGATACGATAATCGGATCCTGAAAATCCTTTGAAAGAATCGATTAGGTATGCAATGCCATCATAATTCTACCTCTATTGCTATTAAAATTCAAACCCTGAAGATCAATGATATTTGTCAAGGACGAAAAATTCTTGTCAGGCAGCTGGCGACACATAGATAAGGTCAGTATTAAATGGGGCTTATTTGCATTCATTTCATCGATTTTTTCATTGAACGAAACTTGTACATGTTTCTGTTTACACTTACTTTTGAAGAGACCCTAGCAATGTTTCTCCCATCTCTCCATCACTTATTTTCATGAGGTTCAAAAACAAGCGATCAAAATCCTTCAACCGTTCTTTCGTGCGCAGCTGCACAGTTCAGCTCAGTCACAACCACTTCCTGTCCCGGGATCCCCGTATTCTCTCAGGGTAACCTACCTCTTGTTCTCCCACGTCGTCCACTTTCTCTTCGCGGACTAGGACTGCCTTGTTCGTCGAAAAATAACACAGTTCTGGGTCCAACCGCTGCGGATTATCTCACCGGATCCCATTCACCAAAGGTACCGGGCGAACGTGGTTCAAGCCAGCCACCACTGGCTACAATGCATGATCTGCTGGAGTGGCAGTGGGACCAAGCTGGAGCACTGTTAGTTCAACAGGCTGAAGGCACAGATGGTATGTTCCCCTATCACCAAACGCCATTCCCCCAAAAAATCAGTCCCTCGACTACTGCTGATGTGTGTTTATAAGATGGTAGAATGAAGGGGATATCACCAAAAAATTTTCCTTTGTCGTTTTCAGCGTCCTATTTGTGGCTATTGGTCTATATATATATATATATATATATATATATATAATTTTTGTATATTTTTCACCAACTTGATGCGGGCTGTTTTGCTAATATTTCGTCACTACGTTTCAAGTTTGCCCTAGGTAAAGGAGAACTATGATTTTTCATATTTGGATGTGCGCTCTTGATCAACAATCTCCATGCGTTCCCAGTAAGGCTTGGATGGGAATCGCAAGTGTGAAGTTCCAAAATGTGGATTCCAAAAACTTTGATATGTAAAGTGTGGTGTTGTGATGTTGAGTAGATGCTATCCCTTATGATACATGACAAGAAAACGGTCCAGAAGATTATATAGGTAGCAGCTTTTCATCCGGAGCTACTAAATCAGTCAAACCAGGTATAACGAACGCATCTCGGACTGCAATCTACCGTTTTCCGATGCAACTTATTAAACATCAACTGCTTCCTTCTTGTTGCCGCTGCCCAAAAGCGCAAGCATTAATGCTGTTTAGACCGAAACTCATTGTTGCATCCAGCATACGTGGCTTTCGGTCGATTATTGAAGCTGTTGTGCTGCTTCAAGGAAACCACCCACATCTTCCATTTCGTTGACGGCGTTTTTCCAAGTGTATGCTTCATAGTTCATGTAGAACTCGCTGCTGTTCTGTCACCAATTTAGATTGGATATTGTAATGTTCTATTCTTCCTACCGAAGTGTTCGGAAGTTCGATTTTTCCGACTGCCTGGACTGGAGTTCATTAACAGCCGTTTTCGATATTCCCCGTAGTATATATTCTGTATGCTGCAGTATGTTATATGATAGTGCGTCACTGTCCGATTTTCAACACCTTTCCTCCATTTGTGACAAGTCACCTCCCCGTACCGCGGTTAAAAGCAGCGAATATTCGAGTCGAGCTCTTGTTGTTCAGTTATGTTTTATGCCAAAGCCCTAACTACCCGTGGGACTCACGGAGCTCATCAATCTACAGAAGATGGGCTGACCGATTGCATAATATCAATAAACAGCACATGGACCATGAAGTTGTCATGTATTGTGGCTGGATTTCCAGGTTGTCACTCATCGTTTGGATATTTTTCAATAAATCTTCTCTGATCAATGGTATGCTAAACTTTCATGATCTTCTTAACGGAGAATGCATTTGAGTTTCATTATATCAATGAACTATAAAGATCGTATGTTCCAAATTTTTAGCGAGCACTATTTGTATCCATAACTTCGTCGTGTCCGTTTTACACAATACCCTCCAAAAATCTATTCGTAATCACATCCGGTCCGATTATGTTCTGATCCGCACCAGAGGCGTACAATTTACCTGGTCAACAATCATTCCCGACCGGTCGTTTATACCACATTCAAAGCGATATTTTTGGAGAGACCACTCAAATTTTTTTTGCTAACTTTTACCAAATATAAATAATTAAATGCTAGACAGAGACCTCTTTCCACAATATTTTCCACCAGTTTAGTACATTCAAGTTCCCAATTCACTTCCCTATTCAGATCACGTTCCGCTTGAACGGCATTCGTGTAATAAGTCTTAGTACATCAACCGGCTTTCGGTGCAACTTACCATAAAACTACCGCACGCTCACTATGCGTGATCTCTTCCCCGATTTCTAAAAGAATCGACGAATGGTTCCCGTACGATTTTAACCTTGCTTAAAGGGTCGATTCTTTTGACCTATTTTTCTGTTTTCTTCAGTTCTGCTTATTTTTTCTTCTAGGTGCACATATGTTACACGTGGTCTCAATTTCTGTTTTGGCTTGCCCCTTAAGATGGTCTTCGGCGACATTGATACATTTTCTTCGCTTCCGAAACGACTTCATGGCGATAACGCAACCTTTGTGTCATAGGAATATGTTCACTTGGCTGGGTCTAAATGGTTGTATTGTCTCTCGTACTGAGAGTGATGGACCTGCGTCCTTCAGCTCATCTAATGTTTAATCAAGGTAGCTCGGGATATCTGTTTTCAATGATTAAACGGGTCAATGGGAAACTTGCTCTGCAAAGCTAAAAATGGGTTATTTTAAATTGAATTGGTTTAAGACTGTTGACAATGATTACAGTCTTACTCTCCCTGTTTCTTATTCTCTGGCCTTTTTATTAGAACAAAGTTGAAACGCGGAGAAATTTCTTTTCGATATATGGCTTCAGGCTGTTTTTTCATTATTTTTTCTCATACCTTATCAAGTTGTATCACTTTTGGATTGTCTACATCAACTAAAGTCAGAAAATGATATACTCGAAGCGAAAGTAGTCCGGTTACAAACACGTAGAGAGCACCTGCGTTCGGTGAACGCTCGACTAACCGCATCATTGGCCACAATGGAGGCGACTCTAATGACAAACTCTCCGCCATCGACAGCCTCTGAGTCTGGACAGACTGGTGGCCACGGGATTAGCTCAATTCCGGTGGCTACTTCAGGCACTCCTCAGGTCTCCCCAAGCTTGACCGGATTGGAGACAAGACTTTCCGTACAGCCTACACAACCGCTGTCGCAGCAACAATCATCCACAGTTTCACATCACGGACTGCCTACCAGTGTGACGGACGCCATCGATTCCCATTCTTACGGACATTCCAGTGTATCTGGAGGCCATGTGCTTACATCGGCTACGACCACACCACCTGTTTTACCGCCACCAGCGCTCAGTCCGAACAAGCGTAAGCTGTTAACCATTTGTGTTATTGTTCCCTATTCATGTGATGTGTGGATACCCATACCTACTCTCTGACAGATTTTCTCTTCCAAGAGTCAGGGTTCACAATTTTTAAACAACTCTCACTCGGGCTGGACTAATATCTTCTGAGAACGTAGAGAGCATTGTTGAGATGAAACTCTCAAAACTGAATTCAAATCGTGTAATAATCCCATCACCACCGCCGCCTGACTTTCCCCATTGTGTTGTAAAGCAGCCCTTTGATTGGCCGCTTTCCCCTTCCTGAAATTTGTCTCATTATGTATTCAGTAAGAAGAAGTAAAAAGGAAAACGGAAAAAATGATGAGCACTTTTGCAGTTAATCGATAGAGTACTGGTTTTTAACTTCATCGTCCTTTAAACAGACGAAGCTCCACCCGCAGAATTATTTAAGAATGCAACCAATCGGAGAATTCAACAGTGTAAGACGAATAAAGATACCAATGATATCTGACAAGAACCAAAACTTTTGATGTTACAAATACATGTATCTGTGAAAATGGTGTTGGTTATTCACATTTTTAACCTAACAAACCCATACATAGCAAAACAAAGTCAGGTACAATGCAGTACCTATCGGTAAATCAAATAAGTTTGTAACCGTGAGATCGAGGTACCGTTTGAGTGGTGCTCCAAAAGTCGGATAATGATGATAATAGTCATCCAGTATAGGCGAGATACCAAATTGCTCGGCAGCAAAAAACATCTGATAGCACAGGTTGGAATACTTCACCGCTGATAGATTAGCGAAACAACGGGCTAGTGCAGAACAGCACAGGACTGTTTAAATTCGGTAAGGTTCCATGCAAAATCAATACCATCAGCATAATTCAAGTCTAGTGCCAAACGGCATAAATACTGGATTTAGACAGGATACCACGTACAAACAAATTGGAGTTGAAAAGTAGCAGACCAGTTAAAAAGCGATGAGCATCCTAAAAAATGGGACGTGCCTGGTAGCATTCGGCTCTCCCTAACTCGAGGGATTCTGCCAAGTTGGCCGGGCCAACAAAGGGGTTCACAATCGAAGCCTTCTGCTAATTAAAGCCTGTTCCGCAAATCAGTCATATCCGAAGGCATTCATCACCAACCAAACTGGTTTTCACAGGTCTCCAGAATGGAGTCAGGTTCGACGTCGAAACTACGAGAGACAGGGACGGCCGCTCAATGCGACCAAGTTTTGGCAGAACTGGAAGAAAGGTGAAAACAAATACGAACTGTTTGGTGCCCTTAAATGAAATCAGCGCTCATTTGAAAGCATTGGGATTTTGTATGATCGTACCGTTCAGCATGTTTGAGATCGCTGACCTAATTTTCCGAGTAACAGTCGCGCATCGAGGTCATTAGCAACACGGTAGTCTAACGAAGCCACCCGGTATTGTGCGCATAATGAACAGGAATACCAATCAAAAATAGAAAGGTAGTCGAATGGTGGATCTAAAATTCATGCTGTCTCTTAACTGAGGTGAATGTTTTTGCTCTCTGTTAATATACAATGGAATGTCTATTCTTTCTTATAAAAGGTAGTCTTCCGTAATATGGTCTCTTGAGCATCAGGATCTCGTTGCTGCCGAATAGTTATTCATAGTCATGGAAAATTTAACGGTAACAGGTCATTGTCGTTTAGTAAATGATGCACTGCAAAGACAGTGAGTGAGAAATAAAGCTGCTGGTACGCGATATTTGCGGCCGCTATTGATGGGAGCGATTTTAATGACGTAGTTTTCCTTTGAGGGTGGGAGGGCTCATATCAACCCATACTCTTGGCGGAGCGTTTGGTGAACTGTTGGGAAGTCTATTCTCTGTTGCAAGTTTAAAAAAGTCAGTTTCAAACATTATAACACGAACCACTTTCCTTCGTGCTATTTATTTTGGGTTGCAAATCGAGATGGTAACCAATGATTTCATTCGTAAACCATTATTCCCCGTCACCACTGACGTTTAATGCCTTTCCTCCTTCCCCGCCCACTTTACATATTCTCGGTTATCTCGTTATGTATCGTGAGCTTGGCAGCGATTTAAGAAGTTCACTTCACTGCATTCCACTGTAAGATGTTGATGATGATAATAAAACATGATTGTGTAAAAATATTTAAATGCTTAAAAGGTATTCAGTTTTTCTCCAAAACATTCGACGTTTTTCTTTCATCACTCTGTTCCAGCCTATCCTAAACACTCATCGTCTACGAGTTCGTATAACTACCACCACCACCATCATCATCATCATCACCAGCAGCAACCGCAATCAAATCCACAGCCATTGATTAAACAGCTTCCTTTACAACCGTTTGCATCGGAATCTCATTTGACCATGGCGAACGCACGTGGTTCTATCTCAAGTTCCACAACCAGCCTAGCAATGCGCTCTCAACAACCTATCTCAGGCCCAGCAAATCCCACAGGTTGGCGCCCTATTGCCCCAGCTCCGGAAATCGATCAGCCATCACAACCACGATTTAGTTCACAACCTATTGCAGAGATAAACACTTCCGGTACTTGGTCAGGACGTCCAATTCAACCAAGTCAAGAAGGGGTGCTAACAACTGCCAGTTCCAGCAGCACTATGGTTCGTTACAGTTCCACTTCCGTGCCTCCAGCCACACCGTCCTCGCAAGCGGTAAAACCCGTTGATGCTGTTGCGGGTTCTGGCAAACGTTCGCACTGCACCCATACACCTCGAACTCAAAAGCACGGTTCTCCTCGGCGTTGGCTTTTATTTCAACTCACTGCTCCTCCATTAGACCCGAATGTGGCAATTGCCGGTAATACTGGTGGGGATCCCATTTTGCCACGACCAAGCGTCGAAGTGACTGACTTGGTAAGTGCGACTACCACAGTCGTGATCGGTACTTTTAACCGGTCTCAAATACCCATTTGACAATTATTATCGATAATATTATTATTATTATTATTATTATTATTATTATTATGCCTATCACAAATAAGATAGCGGATGTTAACTCAAAACGCTCTATTCAAACGTCAGTCTGTAGCAATGGAGTTGCCATGCAAAGCGTGTTCAAGGTCCTCTTTGGTTTATCTGCTCAACTAAGAACGCTGAGTTCATCACTCCTAAGTTTCTGTTGGTCAGTCATACTGGTATTTCACACGCGTCTGAATCCAGACTATGTGCCAAAACAAACCACGGTACAATAGTCTTCATAAAAAATGAAAAAAAACCATGATCTGCTCAAGAGCACGATACTGCTAGGTTGCTCAGGCCAAAGCACTTGGCTTCTCTTGTGTTCACAACCTATATATATA